AATGTATAAATGTGTATAAATATAAATTTAAGCTGCATAATGATTGTTTATATATGAATATTAAACCATTTATCATTTATTCTGTTTTTTAGAAGTATTTATCCGTGGGGGGGTGCACAAGTGGAGGTCAGAGGACAACTTGCAAGAGTCGGTTCTCTCCTTGTACCATGTGGGTTCTGGGGATCAAACCCAGGCCTTAGGGACAAAAGCCTCTGCCTGCAGATCTGTCTCACAGCCCTGCTCTTTGGCTCCTGGTTTCAGAGATTTTTACCGTGGTCTCCTTGTCACTTAGCTCTGTTGCTTAGGGGGATTTGAGGCAGAAAGGCAGCATGGCAGGGAGCATGTGGTAGGCATGACTCCAAGGGCCTGGGGTGCTCTTCCACCTAAGTCCCCAAGTGCTAGAATTACAGGCCTCTTTTTGATAATGTTTTCTGGCTGTGCCTCATGCTTAATGATCCTTATAAACCTGGGTGTCAACTAGGTTCCAATTTTTATGTTTTTATTGGGACCATATTGTTTATAGACCAATTTAAGAGGAAAAGACATTTTTGTGATAATGAACCTTTATAACTGAGAATATGGGCTTCTTTTAAAAATGATTGTCTCCGCCAGCACAGGCAGGCTCCTGTACATCTTTGGGGTTGATAGTAAAAACCAACAGCTGCCCATGGCTCTTTCCTCCCTGGATTCCAACCTGCAGGTCTGGGGCCATTGCCAGAATTCTAACTAACACCCGGAGTGGGTCCTGTAGCACATCACCACAAGAAAGCTGCCTTCAGAGGAACCAAGAAAAACATACCCTGGTCTCTGGTCTCCAGGACCCCACTGGCTAAACTACAACAGCAGCCACCACCCCTGGGTCTACTGGTGAGGGGCCTCCTAAGCAGGGAACAGGTTGGAGGGTATAAACTAAACACAGAGTCAGGCAGAGGGTGTTGACCAGGGGCTCAGCCTCTGCCCAGGAATTCCAACTCCAGAGACTAGTGTTTCTGTGTTGAGATAAAGAGAGTAATTTGGAGAGCCAAAAATAGTCCACAGGAAATGAAGCATAAACATGCTGTGTACCTGTGAAACAACAACAATAATTTCCAGGGGAGGAGGACTGGGGTTTGGGTCATTCAAAGTATACCTCAAAGAGACAGCCCTCCCCCTCCAAGAGTGCGCCAAGCTTACTGGCCACCTCACCCTCCCTCCCACCAGTTTCTTCGGTGATGACTGCAGAGCAGAGCCAAAACAACCCCCATGAGGATTGCCATGCTCAAGTCTTGAGTCTCTTACAGGTATAGGTTAAAATCTGCACATTTTTTTTCTCAGGCTCCAGCCATGTGGTGGCCACATTCCAGGGGCCTCCACCCCTGGTCCCTAAAGGCATCCTTTAGGGTGCTCCTGGAGGTAAAACTGATTAGTCATATGTCCCTTTGTAGCATTTGAGTTAACTTGGTTGTTAGCCCCTTCCAAAATAGCCAGCTGGCTTATTACCCACCCAGGTTGTAATTGCACCAAGCAAGTTTTGCTGAGAAGGAACCCCAGGGACATCTCCAACTAGGGCACCTGTCAGTCATTTGGATTGCCCAGAAGGAAAGTGTTTCCATAAAATGTTTTACAGAAGGTGGATTCTGAGCTTGGTGGGGAAAATCAGAAGTGGTTGATAAAGTCATATGGCTGGTGTCCTGAGGGCAAACGTTCCCACAAATATGGGTCTTACAAGTGGAGTGGGTACACTCTCCAGAGACTTACTCAGGCCACCTCTCAAGGACTAAAGTCCTCAGGGACTCTGGGTGACTCTGGAAGTGACAACACCATCCTGTTTGCAAAGCTGAGCATGAAGGGTGTACATGAAAGAGATTAAATGAACAGACAGCGGTAGCTGGGACCTGTGGGTGAGCCACTGCACACACTGAAACCTGTTTCAGCAATGAAATAGGATGTGGATATTTACCCTGCACTGTTTAATGACCATGAAAGGACACGACACTGTGAGAATAGATGCAAACACTTAGACAAGCCTGGCACTTGGTAGCCTTTGGGCATGGCAGCTGCACAGTTGTTGCATAGAAATGGGTGCCAAGAAAGCGAATATGAATCAGTATTTTAAAAAAATGGGTATGGAGCTTCCCCATGTATTTAAGAATATTCTGCTGAGGGGGATGAGGGAGGAAGAAGGAATCAAATATGAGACAGGGTTTCAAGTGTTTCCACTTTACTAAAAACCAACATATTCTTCTCCTGGCCTCTAAGGTTCCCTCACTGGACTTTAGAATGTGAAAAAATGAATGTGTGACTATAAGGTTTATATGATTTGAACAGGGTGTGCTGGGGCACATCTGTAAGCCCACCACATAGAAGCCTGGAGCAAGAGAACTTTGAGTTCTTGGGTAGCCTGTGCTACATAGTGAAACCTTGTTTCAGCAAACCTAAAATGCACACCATCTGTTTCCTCTTGCCTTGGCTATTATCTTAGTGTCACTTTCTTGGCTCTGTGATGATAATCTTTCATGTTGTCTTGGCGAATTGCCTTGCACTGAAGAGGTAGGTTTTCATATTTCATAAATGTGGTGGTCTGCATAAATAATAGTAACATGGGCTAGTGTATTTGGATGCTTAGTCACTAGTGAGTGGCAGTATTTGAAAGGATTAGGAGGTGTGGCCTTGGTGGAGGAAGTGTGGGAAGTGTGACACTGGGGGTGGGAGCCAGAACCAGTCTCTCTCTCTCTGTCTCTCTCTCTCTCTGTGTCTCTCTGTCTCTGTCTCTCTCTCAGCCTGCAGCTCTCAGGTACTGCTTCAGGCTATGCCTGGCCCCACTGTCTCTGTCATTGTGATAATGGACTAAGCCTCTAAAACTGTAGGGATGCCCCCAATTAAATGCTTTCTTTCATAATAGTTGCCTTGGTCATGATGTCTCTTCACATCAAAAGAACAGTGACCAAGACAATGAACCAATGTATTAGGTTATTAAAATGCAGGGCATAAAGGGCATTGCTAGTGTGCTCTTCCTTAGGGCTAAACTTGAATTGTAGTTGAGTGTTCCTAGTAGGGACTGGGTACTCTTGATCAAAAAGAAATTGCTATCATGATTTCTGAAGCAAAACCCAAGGATTGGCTGAGCATGATAGCACATAGCTTTAGTTACAGCCCTGGAGAGGAAGAGGCAGGCAGAGACTGTGAGTTTGAGACCAGCCTGCTTTACATATCAAGTTCCAAGCCAGTCAGGGTTCCCATAGTGAATGAAACCTTGTCTCAAGAAAACAAAACAAAAAACACCCCAGGGTTTGGGCTCAGAGAATATGAATGCCAAATGTCTCCACCATAGACTTCCTGACTTTGTGATAAGAACAATGATAAACATCGCATGAGGGCTATGATGAGGTCCTACAAAATTCAGAATATTCTTTCACAGATTTAAAGTATTAGATGCCTGTTAGGTTTTTGTTTGGTTTTGGGGGGCGTTTTTCTGTTTGTCTTTTGGGGGTTGTTTGTTTGTTTGAGACAGGGTTTCACTGTGTAACAGTCCTGGCTGTTCTGGTAAACCAGGCTGGCCTTGAACTCACAGAGATCTGCCAGCCTCTGCCCCCTAGTGCTGGCATTAAAGGTGTGCACCACCTCCTGGTGTTGCTCCTTAGTTTTTAAACTCCTGCCTGTAGGAAGAAGATAGACTAGAAGTGGAGGTGTCTGGGCTGTGCCCCTCCCAGGAGATGTGAGCTAAGCAGGTAGTTTAGTCTAGAGCCACTGTGTCATCACCCAGGGAATCCTCCAGGATCATGACCCTTTGAGAAACTGGATAGCAAGTGATGAGGAGCAGTCCTCTCCAAAGGCAGGGTGAGAACAGGCTAATTCCCACCCGGCTGAGCTGGAGATGGGCTTCTGGAACAGATGAAAACCAGAAGACATAAAGCATGACCACTGATCTCCAGGATGGGGCCAGAGCACACTAGCAGTAATGTGAGACAGGTGTGCAAATGTAATCTGAACACTGACATAGGTGTATGAACTACAAATAAACAACTACAGTGTCACTTTCCAAAGCCCGTCTTCCATGCATTCAGTCATTGTTCCATGAATAGCACATTGGTCTGCAGTGACCTCTGAGATTATAAGAACAACGGACTGGCCCTGAACACAGGCTTGTGGTTCCATATGCATGCTGATGTAAAGCATTGATTACTAGGCTGCTGGAATCTAAAGATGGTCAGTGAAGGACTCAGACAGTACCAGGAATCCCCTAGGCAGATGAGCAGGATTTGATGCCACATTACATAGGATCTGTGAAGTTCCTAGCTCAGGTCTGACTCCTTACAGTTGGGTCCTTTTCTACACACACACTCACACACACACACACACACACACACACACACACACACACACACATATGCACACACACCACCCCCAGGCTTTCTTCAAGTGTCATGGATAGACTCAAATCTAACAGCTTACAAGATTCCTAGAAAATCCAATAAACTCAAAGAAAGCTAGAATCACAGGTATTGCCTGGCTCCTAAAGAGGCTGAAAGAAGAAGAAGAGGGGTAGGATAAAAGGGGGGCTCCTACCACCCCAGGAATAGCTAATGCCTGGTGAGCTCGTCCTTCAGTATGAAGAGTTTGAAGGGCTTGAATGGGAGAGTGACCGATCTCAGAAAACTTGAGGGTTTTTCTGGTCACTGAGTCCACAGGTCCATCCAAGGCACCACCTGGGATTACATGGGAAAGCACCCCCAGATAGGTGTCCATACCTACCAATCCTCAGCTTCACCCAACAGCCAAAGCTAAAAATAATCACTCCCCAATTTCTCAGGGACTCCCTAGCCTCTGTATGTCGTCTCAGTTTGGGCTATATAATGGCTTCACTGAGCCAAAGGGTTCCTGCTTGGCTGTGGACAGGGCACAGAGGTTCTCAAAGCCTGTTGCTCTCAGCTTTAACTTGGAAACAGTGATTGCACTGCCCTCAGCTATTGTAAAGGGCCATGAAGAGAATCTGATCAGAACTCTTGGCTTTGTGTTCTCAGGGGACTGCTGGCTGCTGGCTGCCATTGCCTCCCTCACCTTGAATGAAGAAGTACTGGCTCGGGTTGTGCCCCTAGATCAGAGCTTCCAGGAGAACTATGCTGGCATCTTCCACTTCCAGGTACCTTAAGAGTTGGCCTAGGCACCTCCTCACTCAGGATCAAGGGCTCTAGAGTCCCCTGGTGTGTCTGGCTTCTCAGCTCCTCAGTCCCGGGTGGTTTGCAAGCTCCTGAGATCTGTGTTCTGCAGAGGATGCTGGGGGAGAGAGATAAGGTTTTCCCGACCTGCCATGATGTGAGAGCCCATCAGAGTGGATGAGAGGGGAGTGGGAGTGAGTCATGGAGGTAGATTTTGGTGTACAGGAAGTAATGTGTTCGGGAAGTAATCCACAAGTTTTTTAAAAAAGCACTATTTGAAGTTTGAGACAAAGATTGTAACACTTCCTCCTTTTATGAGGGCAAATGAGAACTGATACTTTAAAAGTAAGTATGTGTGGTTTTGGAGACACAGACAAGCTCCATTGTCCTCTCTTGCTTGGTGAGGGACATGCCTACCATCGGGGACTGAAGAGCCTTGTGGGAACCTACAAGGGGCTGGGTGGGAGACAGCTGGACGAGGCTAAGGCTCGGAGGCCCAGTGCCGCCCTCTCTTGTTCTCCTTGCCCTGCAGTTCTGGCAATATGGTGAATGGGTAGAGGTGGTGGTGGATGACAGGCTGCCCACTAAGGATGGGGAGCTGCTCTTTGTACACTCTGCTGAGGGGAGCGAGTTCTGGAGTGCCCTGCTGGAGAAGGCCTATGCCAAGTAAGTAACCACGCCTGTCCCAACACCCCACCCTGCCCCTGCTGCCCTGGACTCCAAAACAGCAGGAGCTATTCAGGGACTGTTTTGAGTAGAAGTTCTGTTCTATAAAAGGATGACTTTGGCCCAAATTGGGCTCTTAATTCAAGGAGGTAATGTGGGCATGGTGCCTGGTCACATGATGTACCATCATTGCTGTTTTTAACCAAGTGAACGAGAACATTCTGGGGCTGACTGCTCTGGCCTTGAGAAGAAACTCTGTTTCTTTGGTGTCCCTGTTGCATTTTATCAACTGAAAAGAACAAAAGTGGGCAAAACTACCCATTGCAGAGGTAGGAAAATTGTGGAAACACACCCAGGACAAACCACCTGGCTGGTAAGAATGGTTTCCCGGTCCTAGTCCTAGCTGCATCTCACTCAGCTTACCCAAAGTTGCGCTGGGCCCTCCCAGGGTGTCAGCCCTCTGCAGAGGGGCCTCAGTTTCTGGTGCTAGTGGCCTCCCCAATTAAGATGAGTCAGCTGGGCGTTGGTGGCACACACCTTTAATCTCAGCACTCGGGAGGCAGAGGCAGGTAGGTGATCTCTGTGAGTTCAAGGCCAGCCTGGTCTACAGCATTAGTTCCAGGATAGCCTCCAAAGCAATACAGAGAAACCCTATCTCAAAACACCAAAAAAAAAAAAAAAAAAAAAAAAAAAAAAAAAAAGATGAGCCAATGTTAGCAGCTGGTGGGGTTTAGAGTCCCCACAGCCCTGGGCTAGAAAGGAGCAGAGAGGTTTCATGTCCTCAGCCAGGAGGACTTGGGACCAAACTCAAGAACTGATGGAGAAGCCTATATGAGTGACCAGAGGAACCCACTGTGCTTCTCAGGGAAAGCTGGGTTTGTGACTGAGGTGTCTTTTTAAGGATGTAACTGTCAAACAGCCAATTGGCCAGCCTCCCCTTTGTGTCAGTGGGAGAGTCGGTGCCAGAGGCTGGATCAGAGCATCGCTAAGTGATGGGAGATGTCATTCTGGAAATATGTTTTTCTTATTGGTTAATAAATAAAGTTTTGTTGGCCAATAGGAAAGCAAGATAGGCGGGACTAGGAGACTAGGAGAGAGTAAGAAGTAGAGAGAAGATTCAACATGTAAGACCACATGGAAATACTTAGATTAATATAAATAGGTTAATATTTAAGACAGAGCTAGCCAATAAGAAGTGCTAGTAACAGGCTAACAGCTTTATATCTAATACAGCGTCTCTGTGTGTTATTTGGGGCTGGCACGGCTCTGGGACAAGGCCGGTGGGAAAACCTGCTCATGGCAGCTAAGTTTTTCTAACTCCAGGGTGCTGTACAATTTTGAAAACAAGCCACAGCCATGGAGGAAACGTAATTAGGGAGATAGCACCTTGTCTTCCTGGGCACCCCAAGTAGGAGACAAAGACAAGGAGAATGAAAGCAGAGGATCGCTGGGGTCCCATGAGGGAAGGGGAGGGCACACGGGTCAGCAGCATCAAGGGCAGTGAGAGGCAGTGTGAATTCCCCTCCTTCAGGATCAATGGGTGCTATGAAGCACTCTCAGGTGGCGCCACCACGGAGGGCTTTGAAGACTTCACAGGAGGCATTGCTGAGTGGTATGAGTTGAGGAAGCCTCCTCCCAACTTGTTCAAGATCATTCAGAAGGCTCTGCAGAAAGGTTCTCTGCTCGGCTGCTCGATCGATGTAAGTCCTCACTACCCTGGAAACACACAGTCTGCTGTAGCCAGAGGGAAGCCCTGACAGCACCCAGGAGCTATTAAGAACATTAGTGCATCCCTTGTTCACCTTGCTGCTCATCACTAGAAGCCAGGGGTTGCTAGGCAATAGCCAGGCTGTCTGGGAGTGCATTTGATATAGAGATGGTGCCTCCAGCCCTTCTGTCCCCAGCCCATTTTCCATCCTAACTCTGCTTTGAATCACCCCACACACAGAACCCAGCTTCCAGGAAAGTCCCCCCAACCCCTTCTGCTGGTCTTGAGCCCTTCTCCCCCACCTTCAGGGCTGATTGAACAGCCTGGTGGCTTCCCAGTCTGTCCCAGTGCCCATGGGTCCTGGAGAAGACTTCAGAGAGTACCAGAAGGAGTTATTTTCCCAAGATAGCTTTTCATGCAAACCTCAACAACAGGGAGGTGGGAAGTGGACATGGGGAATGGGGAGTGGGCATAGTCCAGGCCCCAGGAGTTTTAAGGCTGTGCCCAAGGATGGGAAAGAAGTGGTTCTGAGGAATTAGCCATCCAGTATGCTGACTCTGAACTGAGATAAAACTGCCATCATGTGCAAATGAGCTGGGCGGGGTGGGCGTGAGAGACCAGAGCATCTTGGCCACAGTTGCCCATTGGTGTCTGTCATTAGGGCCCCCATGAGCCCTTGTCTCCAAGGGGAGCCCTTCACGCCCTCCCCATCCAGAAGATGGCTGGACAAGTAGGAATAGCAGGAATGGGTGCACCAACTGGTTCCTTGGTGACCATCAACTGCAAGTGGCACGGGGCTCCCCCAGGTGGCAGAGTTCCCCAGGCTGCTCCCCCCCGCCACCCACCCCCTCCCTGGGCCCGTGCCCATGCCTTGTGCGTTCCCTTGGGCGGTTTGTATTAGAGTTAGAGCAGCTGCTAACTGTGCTTGCAGATCACCAGTGCTGCAGATTCGGAGGCCGTCACGTACCAGAAGTTGGTGAAAGGACATGCGTACTCCGTTACCGGAGCCGAGGAGGTACTGGCCCTCGGGGAGTCCTTCCCCCACCCCTACCCCCACCCCGGCACCCCAGCACGTGACTGTCCTGGGTGGGGCCTCTAGGCCCACATCAGCCCAGCGCGCGCTGCCCCCTGCTGGCCACAGCGGCTGGTGCAGGCGTCCTTATATTCAAGAGTTAACAGATTTAGTGTCTGAGTCAGCTTTTAAAACCCAAACACAGTACTTTGCATCTGTATGGTATTTTATACTCTTCAAAACATTGTTAGTGGGCACAGAACCTCATATCAATCCTAGCCTTTGTCTCCCGTGTGCTAGGGTTTCTTTTTTAAAGATTTTTTTTTTTATGTGTATTTCAACATTGCTAAGCTTTGCCACACATTCTGTCTCCAACTACATGGCTGTTTTGTTTTGTTTTGTTTTCTGAGCCATTTACAAGTAAGCTGCAGGTATGGTGGCATGGGCCTGTAGTCCCAATAACTAAAGTGATGAGAAGGAGGGTCAGTGATGTTCAGGGCCAGCCTCAGTAACCCAACAAAACCTTGTCTTAAAAACAAAACAAACAACAACAAAACCCTGCGTCTTCTCTTTCATCCAATGCCTTTAAGCAAGTGAGAAAGCTTTTCTGAGAGCCCTAAAGCACATCCTATTCCAGCTAGTTAACTGAGGTTTTGCCCTAACAACACCCCAAGCACAGACACCAGGGCAGGGCAGGCTGTTTACATCTCCGGCTGCTGACAGAGATTAAAGCCAGATCCTAGGAGCTGTAATTCTCATTTTCTTTGGTTTACTTATCTATTTTTGCTTTGGGGAGATGGTGTTGTTTGTTTTGTTTGGTGTTTTATTAAGATGGAGTCTTACTATACAGCTCTGGCTTCAGTGTGAGGCCTCCTGGGTGCCTGGAGTTTAATTCTCATTTTGCAAACCTAGGCAGTAGTAGAGACAGTCTCAGGGTCAAGCCTCTTCCAGCGTCTGTGGGGCTCCTCCTCCCACTTGGTTCAAACTGAAGGCAAGCATAGGTCCAAGGCCCTCCGTGCCTGTGTAAGTGGAGCTTTCTGTAGGACTGCTGGCCATCTCCCAAATAATCAAACGGAGACTTAATAGTAATTACAAATGCTGGGCGGATAGCCCAGGCTTGTTTTTAGCTAGCTCTTATAACTTAACCCATTTTCATTAATCTACATGCTGCCCCAGGCTCGTTTACCTCATGTATGTTCTTTCCATGCTGCTGGCTCTGTCTCATGGCATCTCCTCTGACACCACCCTTCTCCTCCTCAGCATTCTGTCTGTCCCCAAAGCCCTGCCTAGCCATCATCCAATCAGCTTTTTACAACAATGAGAGCAATGCGCCTTCACAGTGCACAGAAAGGTTATTCCACAGCATGCATGGTCCTCAGCCTCTGCCTCCTTGGGTCTCTCAGGTTGAAAGCTCAGGAAGCCTGCAGAAACTGATCAGAATCCGGAATCCTTGGGGACAAGTAGAGTGGACCGGGAAGTGGAATGACAAGTAAGAATGGTTCAAAGTGGGGGCAGGGTTCAAGGTGAGCCAGGGTGTGAGGGAGCAGGGTATGGTAAGCCAGGGTGCAGGGAGGGCCTGGGTACATGCATTCTCCTAGGACCTGTTGCAACCCAGGGAGGAGGCACTGTGTGTGGTACCAAGACTTGAGGTTCTGAGGCCACTCACTGATCATACCAAGTGTGTCCCCAGGCTGTGCCTTTAAGGGATTTTGTAAACAGGGACACTACTCCCTGCTCTGGGGCGTTGCCCAGGCCCAGGCTTCCAATGGAGTCCGTTCTTTCCTACCACACGGTCCATCCTTTCCCAGCACAAACTCACTCTGCTAATGGACCCTCTGGGGAAAATGCACCCTATAGCCTGGAGGGATGGCTCAGCAGCTAAAGGTGCTTGGAACCAAGCCCAACAAAGTGAGTTTGATCCCAGGAACCTACATGGTGGCCTGAAAAACCCAACTACCACAAAGTTATCTACAAAAGCACTATGGCATGCTGGCACATGTGAGCACACACACATCAGCACACAGACACACACAGATACATAGGCACATGCACACACAAAGCAAATAAGTAAGTATAAAACAGAAAAAAGAAAAAACAATTGAAGAAAAGGCACCCTCATCCTAATAACATTCCATTTCAAGGTCATGAACTTTGTACCAAGAGCTGAGATATGCCTCTTGACCTCCCATGCTTGGGGGTAGTTAGGCTTCAACCCTCTGGGGTAAACGCTCCATTGAGCCTCTCTTGTGCCCCCCCCACCGCCTTTCCCAGCTGCCCACCTGTCTTTCTTCCATGCCCTTGCTGACTTGTTCTAGGCAGCACTGGCCTCAGCAGAGGATCTCCTATTGGCAGGCTTCCTTCCAGGTTGGCTCTGGGGGTCCTTGGTGGACCCTAAAAGAACTTCCAGGAGCATCTCACCTGGAACAGGCAATGCTCCTCCATCCCTTGATGGCGGACCTTGCTCATTTTCTATTCTTCTAGCCGCCATCTTCCCTTGCTCCCTGTTCAAGGTTCTGTGCTCTGTAGGTAATGCTTTGTGTTTCTCAGTGGAGTCTGGAGGCCTAGACTCTCAGTAGGGAGAGTGGGTGTGCTCCACTCCTCAGCATTTGGGGACTGTGGAGAGAAATGCTCATTCCTGAGGCCTCTCCTGTCACTTTGCTTTCCAGCTGCCCCAGCTGGAACACAGTTGACCCAGAAGTGAGGGCAAGGCTAACTGAACGACAGGAGGACGGAGAATTCTGGTAAGAGTGTGGAAACAGCCTGGTCCCAGTACCCCTCACAGCAAAGTTGCTCACCAAAGCATCTGCCAGAAATGCATTCAGCATGCCGAGGGCATGTGGTGTGGCATCCTGGCTTTGCCGTCCCTAAGTCCGAGGCAGGGCATTTTACTTCTGTAATCCCAGCACTCTAGAAATTGAGGCAGGGGGCTCTCAAATTGGAGACCAAGCTGCTCAGCCTAGGCTATCTAGCAAGAACTTGTTTCCACAAACAGGGGAAAAAATTCTCCATATACTCCTCAACAACGTTTAAATCTCTTCAATTTGTCCATCTCGGTAGTGAGGTTGACACTCTGAGCAATGTCACAAGGACTAAGAGACATTCCTTCGGTAATGGTCAGACCCGAAGAGAAAAGAAAGATGGGACCTTTCTTCCCACTGGTCTTTAAAGAGATATCCAGGCTTATGAAGAAACCAACTCCAAGATGAAAGGAAGGCTCATGGTTAAGAGCTCTCTCTGCTCAGGCAGGCCCAAGTTCAGTTCCCAGACCCACATGATAGCTAGTTCCCGGGGACCTTAGCTCCCCAGGCTCCTGCACATATGTGGTGCATATAAACCCATGTAAATTTGCACACCTAATATAAATAGAAGTGTTATAAAGAAAAAAACCAGTTCCTTACTGAACAGAGAAGGACCCGGTGTGCTTTGCACCCACAGAGCACCTATCGTGGTTACTATTACCCTGACAGCCATATGTCCTCTCAGTTGGTATTTATTCCTGGCTTTCATTCCACAGCTGAGATCTCTGGGATACAAAGAGAGCTCATCCATTTTCTCAAAGTCACCCACTTAGAAAGTGGCAGTCACAGGACTAGACTTGGGACCTTCTGAGTCTGCTCACTACTGGGTCTCACTCAGCTCCTAGTCTGACCAGGTAGAAAGCCAAGGCTGGCTCCATGTCTCCTGTAACTTGGGACAGACGCACTGTCTCTGCTTTTCCAGGATGTCCTTCAGTGACTTCCTGAGGCATTATTCTCGCCTGGAGATCTGCAACCTGACCCCTGACACCCTCACCTGTGACTCCTACAAGAAGTGGAAACTCACCAAGATGGATGGGAACTGGAGGAGAGGCTCTACTGCAGGGGGCTGCAGGAACTACCCAAGTAAGGGGTGTGGCCATGTGAGGCTGCAGCTTGGCATCCCACCCTGATAAACATGCCCCACCAGCCTGGAAGCCCAGGGGAGCTGGCTGCCACCCGCCCAGGCCTCATTCTCTTCCGTCTCTCTCGGCTGAGGCCTCGAAGCTCCGTTTTCTCAGCCATACTACTTCCTGCATTCATTTGCTGTGATAAACCCTTTGGGCCCCAGATCCTCTGGTGCCTATGACCCTGGTCTGGTTTATAGAGGCAGTGCTAAGTCCCAGTTCATAACTAACCACCTAGGCCCTCACACACTGCATCCATGGGGCACACCAGCCTCTCATTGCAGTCTTCCACCCTCGTGTGCCAAGTTCATTTAGGAAATGTAGACAGCCAGGCAGGATGGTGGTGGTGGTGGCGGCTGGCACCTTTAATCTCAGCACTGGAGAGGCATAGGCAGACAGATCTGTGAGTTCCAGGCTAGCCTGGTTTACAGAGTGAGATCCAGGATAGCCAGGCCTATTATTCAGAGAAACCCTGTCTCAAAAAGACAGTGAGAGAGGAAAGGAGGGAGGGATGGAGGGAGAGGAGGGGAAGGAGGGAGGGATGGAGGGAGAGGAGGGGGAAGGAGGGAGGGATGGAGGGAGAGGAGGGAGAAGGAGGGAGGGATGGAGGGAGAGGAAGGGGAAGGAGGGAGGGGATGGGAAATGGGAAGTGTTGACTGAGTCCAGCCCACATGGGGAGGGAATTCCTCCTCTTTCTACTCTTTGCTGACTGGTCCCAGGCCACAGAGCTTTCTGGGATCCGAACCCAGGCACTATGGTTACGGAGTCACTCTCAGTCTGGTGTCAGGCCATGGTCACACTTTGACACTCTGTTGCAGATGAGGAAACTGAGACTCTATGTAGTACCAGACCTAGAGAGCAAGCAGACTGTGACTAGCCCGCCAGTCCCTCCAGTCCCAGCATGCAGTGTCCAAGTGACAGTTCTAGAGGACACCACTGGGAAGCCCCTCTGCCACCCACAAAAACACCTGAACCTATTAGATGGGGGGGGCGGGATCAGAAGACACTCTCTCAATGGCCTTAGAGTGAATGCTCCTGGCCTTTTGGGGTGCTTTTCCGCAACAGTATACTTGGTGCTACTGAGGTAATCTAGAAGCTTCATACATAAATGAGTGTGTGTTGACAACATGGACTGAGAGAAGCAGGGACACTGTGGCTGCCAGCTCTGCAAGTCCACGCTGCTAACTGCATGAGGGAGGGAGGCACTTAGCACTATTACCTCCAACAGGAGTGACTCAGTGTCTCCCTGAAGGTGGGTCTTGGAAGTGGAGATGTTGGAGGATGAGCAAGAGTCAGAGATGCTGGAGTAGAGCACAGGATGTCCCTGGCCTCTGAATCCACCACAGGGTGGGGGCAGACGACAGGCACTGTGTAGGCATCCTTAGGGCACCCCAAGACAAGCCAACCAAAGGGCAAAGAAGAGCTTGTGAGCAGAAACCCCTGGTTTAGGTCCTTCTGAGATTCAGGGTGTGCCAGGAGCCCAGCAGCCTTCCATTTGCTCTGTCTAGGGGGATAGACCTTTGGGAAGACTTCACAGTGGGGGTAACGATGTAACGATGTAGAGTGATATCCCAGCATGCACAAAGCCCTGGGTCCAATCATAGTGCTAGCGATCCCTGCACTGAGGAGGTGGAGTCAGGAGCATCCGAAGTTCAAGGTCATCCTCAGAGAAAGTGAGTTCGAGGCCACATGAACCCTTGTGCCAAAAGGATAGAACCAGAGAAAGCCATTTCCTCATGAAGGGTGTAGATCTGCCTCTAGAGCCCACCTCTGTCAGCAGCCACTTCACCAGGGTCTGCTGGCTTCCCTGTCTCCCACCATATCCCCTTTTCTTGCCACCTCATCTCCTTGTCCCACCACCTCAGCCCCCAGGCCAGGACCCACCCCAAGTCCCAGCTCCCGGCCATTTAGTCAAAGCTGTGCTCCTCTGTCCCTATTCCATAGATACCTTCTGGATGAACCCTCAGTACCTAATCAAGCTAGAGGAAGAAGATGAAGATGATGAGGATGGGGAGAGGGGCTGTACCTTCCTGGTGGGCCTCATCCAGAAGCACCGGCGGCGGCAGAGGAAGATGGGCGAGGACATGCATACCATTGGCTTTGGCATCTATGAGGTACAGGCAGAGGATGGGGCTGCACTCTGCCTTCCCTTCCCTTCCCCCAACCCCAGCCACACAGACCCCAGAGGCATGACTTGGAATAAGACAGAGGACAGGAAACTTGGCCAAGCCAAAATAAAGATGCCAGCCCAGCCAGACTTATCTGACACAAGGTCTACACAGTCGTTCGTGTTTCCAAGGACCTCCTTGTCCTTCCCTGGGTCCCCATAGCTACCCTCCTAGGAGTTCTGTGCTTGGAAAAGACCGCTGTGTCCCTATTCACATCCCGTAGTCCTGGAATTCTGGTTAGCCCAGCAAACTCCAAAGAATAGAAAAGACTTGATCTAGAACAGAATATTCTAGAGCACACCAAGTATTGTGAGAGTTAGGCTGAGCCAATAGTCCCTAATGGCCAGAGCCCAGCCAAGTCGTTGGCCTGAATGGGAGAGAGCCCAGGAAAGGATAAGTAAGGGACAGTATGCTCCCCTGGGATCTGCTGGTTCTGTCCTCACAAACCCCCTCACCATGGGGGGGGGGTTCCTCTCATTCCAAGCCAAAGGAAAACCACGCCTGCTCAACTGTGCCAGAGAGCAGCCTTGCCATGGTCATCTCTCTTCTTCAAGCTGAGAGCTAGGGCCAGGAGACTCGACTCCACGTCAGGGCTATCTGCACGGAATGTGGCCTTGGTTAGCAGCAGATGAGTACAGCATGGAAGACCTCAGGGTAGCCGCATAGGTGCCTTTGTGGCAACTTGCTGGTTCTGCAAGTCCACCCCCATCATTCCCTCAGCCCCATGTTTAGCAGCGGCACCTGAGTAGTGTGAACATGGCTTTGGGAAATGGCAAACTACCAAGCAGGGCTTCTGCCCACCAGCTCTAAACACATTCCTAGCACACTGGGAACCCAGACTAGGTGTCAGGGAAAAGGCTTACTGCTATGCTCATCACTGGAAACGTGGCTGCTTCTGATTGGCTGCTGATCTGAGCCCCCTCCACCAGCTGAGGCATGGAGGCATGGGGAAAAAACCATCAGTGTACATAGTCCCTGGACTCCCAGTCTCTGAAATGGAAACTGAGGGTGCCAGACTTGGACAGAATAGCTCAGAAATACAAAGTGAGTTGTGCCCGATCACACATGCACTTGGGAGTCCATCACCGGACATTGGCAGTTATCAGTTCCATTTAAATATAAGAAAACCAAGGCCAGTGAGGGAATGTGACTTAGTGGGAAAAATACATGCAGACTGGATGTGGCTGGTTCTTCCTCCAACTTCACCCAGCCCTACCCAGTGAGAGGTGGGTGTGGGCTTCGACACAGCTGTCTGGCAACCTAAAACAAGTCGCCACACATCTCCAGGGATGAATGGTGGTAAGAGCAACCATATCACCAGGTCTGAAGAGGGATTTTCCTCGGATGTGTCCAAAGTACTTTGAGTTGCTTGAAAAATTAGCACTAGAGCTGCAGAGAAAAGCCACAGCAAAGTCCCAGAGCTGGTGTGTTCATACCCCCACATCTGATCAGGTCTCCTTTGATTTTCAGGTTCCAGAGGAGGTACGTCTGGCACATGTCGGCTCCCAACACCAGGGCTCCAGCTTCCAACACAACTGAGGCTTAGCCTGCCTGAACGCAGGGAGTAGCAGGAGCTTTGGAGGGGCTGGTGGCTGAGGGATGAGCCCTTGTCGCCTCTGAGCCCCATGGGAATGGTTCCACTGAACTAAGCTCAGGACAAAGAATCTATAGCACCCCATCAGTGCTTCCTGCTCTCTGTGGCCTTAGAGAAACTGTGTAGTTTGGCTGTGGTGGCAGCCCACTGCCCTTGGGCTGCAGGTGTTTGTCTTCAAGGCCTGTGTGGCTCTGAGAACAAGCAGCAAGGGGGAAGATGAACTAACTGGACCCAACTCCCAGGCTAGGTGTCCTGTACACACACGTGACATAGTCTCTCTGAGATCTGGTTTTCTTTTCCAGTATAAATGGTGAGCCATCACCTCCCTGAGCACTGTAGGCATGAACTGAGATATAGAAGGTCACAGTTAACAGTAATGAGATGCATAACAGTCGGGTGACAGGTATTAAATGGCCACATCAGGTGACTCACCTGTGGGCATCCTGCTTTCACCAATAGACAGTTGAGCTTTATCAAACACTACCTTCTGAGTCGGAGCCAGCCTTGAGTGACATCTGATTTAACAGCTGGGCCCCTTTCTCTGCCCCTGACTTTGGTCTTTCCTTTTATCAGTGTGTGAAATACAACACAGAACTGACCTGGCTCCTTCATGGGAGAGGGAGAGGGAGAGTGGAGCACCTGGTCACACCTGAGCTCCTTACTGACATGTGCTGTCTGGGGAGGAGATTTTGCTTGTCACCTAAATTGTCCCCATTATCCCTTTGCCTTGTATTCTGTTTAATCATCAGCTCACAGGCCAAACGAACATCCACCTGGGCAAGAACTTTTTCCTCACAACCAGGGCCAGGGAGCGGTCAGATACCTTCATCAACCTCCGGGAGGTACTTAACCGCTTCAAGCTGCCCCCGGGGGAGTACATCGTTGTCCCCTCCACCTTCGAGCCCCACAAAGATGGCGATTTCTGCATCCGCGTCTTCTCAGAGAAGAAGGCAGACTACCAGTAGGTTCTGATGCCTCTCCTTGTTCCTGGCCCTGGTCTGCCCCCTTTCTCTCCTTTTTCTGTGACACTGACCTATTTGACAGGTCAGTGTAAGGATAGATGAACTGGGTTCATCTGTCTCTAAGAGTTCCACTCAAGGAAGCAAAGGGGAAAAACACGCATACAGGACGTGTTAAGTTGGAACAGAGCAGCTGGGGAAGTGAGCAGTTTGCAGTACAGTTTCCCAGTTCACCCCTAATTACAATAGTTAATATCATTTTAATGACCTGTGTACACCCTCTATGAGCCCGCACTCTGCATAACCCTTGCTTTCCCCGCGTTAGTCAGGAAGTCTCTGGTGAAGGCCTTTAGATAGGTATCACAAGTTCCCGCCATTGTCCCTGGGGCCTTGACTCACAGTAGCTTCTGCCACATCTGTCACTGTGTCAGTCACTTAGCCAGCAGACAGGACCAACCCCAGAAAGTATAATTGAAAGGAAGGTCACTGAAGGGATATGGATACCCCAGCACTGATGGGGGGACCAGGGACAAGATGGGAACAAGGGTGCTCTAGAGGATCATGGTTGGGAAAACCTGTGCCAGAGACCCAAAAGCCCCATAGATTGTGTCTGATTGGGTGGGCACGGGCCAGTCCCCAGCCATCACCTCCTGTGACAGAGAAGAGACCAGGAAACCTTTGCTTCAAACAATACAGAGAAAGAGTTTCAATGCCCAACATCTGTGAAGCAGGGGGTGGGGGGGAACGGCATTGGAGTGTGGCTGCGGCTCCCTGCCATGACAGGCATTCTTGTTTTGTTGAAGTTTACTGCAGGGAAGGGGTCCGCTGGGTCACCTCATGGCAGGTGGGAGGGGACCTCGGTGTGTCCAGCTTAGTCTCCACTGATGAGATGGGGACAAGCCCGAGATCATTTGGATGACACTGCTCTTGGTCAAACCCTACCCTGTCCTGCTAACTACAAGCCTCTCCCACGGAAGTGTCAGCCCACTCTGCTTGCCCCAGGATGAGCTTCCTGCCCTTAAAAGTGGTTGCCCTGTCCCAGAATAGCCAACCTTCCATCCCCTATCCCATAGCATGCTGGATTTAAACACTGCTGTTCTGTTTTATAGGGTGACTTTAGCCTTCTAATAGCAAATTTTCCTTCTGTTTCCAGAGTTGTGGATGATGAAATTGAGGCCAACATTGAAGAGGTATTACTTCCTTACCTCCCTAGTTCTCCTCATTCTGATGGACACAGAATACAGCAGAACCCCTTGGACCATGGGAACAGGGTTTAAAGCAAGGCTATAGATAGTCTCTTCTTCATTAAAGCCTAGCTTATCCACTGCAGAGGGCGTGAGGGTGGTGGGGAAGGACAGGGTACCAACGATGTATTGAGCAGGCTGGGTTCCAGTGACTCCCCTTGCTCAACCTCACTTCTATCATCCATAAAATGGACTTAAAGGATAGCAGGAGTTCCCAAGTTCCTAAGGGTTCTAAGGATGGTTCAGTGGTAAATCCTGAAGGGCTTTTAGCAATATAACTCAGGAATTTCACCTAAGGCCCAATCTTAGCAAATCCCACTAGAAGTACCTCCGGCTAGAGAAAAGGAGGGCTATTGCTTCCTCTCTCTCTCTCTGAGGCCCTGAGGTGGCTCTTTGATTGGATCATAATTGCTGAAGCCTAGTGCTTGTCCTAAGTACCCAGTGGAACACCAAACGGGTTGTCATTGACCATACTGTTCCACAGCATTCCACTTACTTCCTGTTGGAGAAGACCATACAAGGTCATTTTAGTTAAATATTAAAGATATTTGGAATTACAAGAAGTTAAAGCATAACCTCCCCAGCCATGTGGTTTTCATTCCCTCTCATGGGTTTTAGCTAAAAGAAACAAAACAAAAAAACCTTAGCTAGGCATGGTGGTGCACACCTATAATCTCAGCCCTGAAGAGACAGAGGCTGGAGGATGATGAATTCAAAGCATCCTTGGCTGTGTAGTGAGCTCAAGGCTACCCCGGACTACTTAAGACCCTGTCTCTAGTAAGGGAAAAACTTCTCAAAAGATAAGTGTGGTGACACATACCTACCATCCCAGCACTTGTGAGACAAGATACGGATCAGGAGTTCAGGGCCATCCTCAACTACATGAGGAGTTTGGGGTCAGCCTGCATTATGTGCTATCTTGTTTCAAAATGAAACAAAATATTTAATTTATCACACTGCCATTCAGTGTAAGCCCAATGTCCTTAGAATTCTAGCCCGAGGGACAGGAAGACTCTGAAAACTGGCAGGGGAGGGGTGCCAATGAAGGGAAAGGGAACCTTCGGGTCAGTTTCCTCTTTAACCCGTTTCGTATTTCTGTGCCTCGCCTAGATTGACGCTAATGAGGAGGACATTGACGACGGGTTCAGAAGGCTGTTTGTGCAGCTGGCAGGGGAGGTAGGTCTCACCAAAATTCTGCTGACAATAAAGGAGAAGTGATTTTCCTGGAGACTTCAGCGTTAGGGTAGGCTGGGGACAGCCAAAACAACATCACTTGGTGTAAGGAGTACGGGTTTTCCGCCTGCCGCCGCTGGTCTTGTCCCGCCGCCATGCCGCCAGCCCCAAATAATACACAGAGACTCTGTATTTGATATAATACTGTTGGCCCGGTTACTTGTTTCTTATCGGCTAGCTCTGCCTTTAATTATTAACCCATTTTTGTTGATCTATGTATTTCTCTTACCAGGGAGCCGGCGGCATACTGCTTTCTCCAGTCTCTCCATCTTGACTCCTCCTTACTACTTCCTCTTTCCTCCTTGTCTCCTAGTCCCTCCTATCTTCCTTTTCTATTGGCCAACAGTGTTTTATTTATTAACTAGTATGAGAGACATATTTATAGAATGACATCTCCCATCATCTCCTCTTTTCTGTCTAAATAAAAAGAAGGGTTTTAACCTTAACATAGCAAAATATATATATCACATAACAGTTATCAAATAAGAATCACAGTTAACACTATTTAGTCCACTAACATCAAGATTTAAGAAACTATTCCATCATCTATTTCATCTTTGTGAGTCTAAAGTTCTATATGTAACTTATCTTTAATCCTGACTAAGGAAAACTATAACCATAACTATCTGTCTTCAACTCTTCAAAGACCACAGAAGGATAGTATATAAACTCTAGATATGACAGAGACATCTTGCTTTGTCAGTCACCTGAAGTTCTATTGTAATCTTCCATCTTTAGCCCATAGGCCATAGTGTGTCTGGCAGACTCTTCAGCCAAGCAGGAAACTTTAAACTGTCTTTTTGTATTGGCAGTTTGTCAGTCACTTTTCTCTGTGTCCTGCATACTGTCTCACAGACTCTTCCATGAAGCAGGACCTCTGTAGCAATGTCCATCTTGAATCAGCAGTCACTTTTCTGTGGGTCCTGCATGTCCAGTTTATACAGCATAAAGTCAAACAGTCCAGACAAGAGCAGTATCTTGTCCAAATGGCTAGTCTTGCCATATTGGAAGTAAACTCCATAACGTGTTTCTTTAATGTCCATCTTCCTTTCTGGTACAGGTGGTGTTGCCAGGAGCATTTATGTCTCATTGTCAAGTAAAACCCTAAAGCATTTTAAATGCCATATTCTGTAGGTCTTTGAAAGGTTTGAAGAATTCCTATCTATCTTACATACATCTCTGTGTATCTTGAAAACCTTAACTAAACTCTAAGCTTTGACTATCATAGGTAATTATCTATAATCTGTATTACATTATACATTACATTTCTAAATGAGCTATACAAACAAGAGGAGAAATATACATATGACAAAATTGACCTTAAATTGTATCAATAAATGAAAATCCATTCCAAAACAAACTATGCATATCTATACGGGTTTTCCGCCTGCTGCCGCTGGTCTTGTCCTGCCGCCACGCCGCCAGCCCCAAATAATACACAGAGACTCTGTATTTGATATAATAACTTGGGGCATTAGCAATGCAAACAAGATCCATCCAAGATGTTCACTGTGGTTCACTCAGCTCCCACAGGGAACCCATAATGATGGTCTGGTCCTATGTCCACAGGATGCGGAGATCTCTGCCTATGAGCTGCAGACCATCTTGAGAAGAGTCCTAGCCAGGCGTAAGTGTCCCCTGTGCAAATCCCTCATCATACCCTTGCCCCTTCAGATAGGAGGGACTCCTTCCTTAAAGCACATGTCAGCTGCTGTGGCTAAGCCATCACTCTCTGCTCCTACCTAAGTTATTGCCTTTGTCCTCCCAGCACCGGGGAAGAGTAGGACAGGGGAAGCATGTGAAGTAATGTTATAGAGCAAAGGTTCCTGGGTCTAGAGATAACAGATCAAATCCACATTCTTCCACTTCAAGTCTCTGAGTAAACGACATTAGACAGATCACCTGCCTGACTTTTTACCCCTTATCTGCAAAACAGACACACTATGTATGACCCCCTCTTCCCAGTGGTTAACATTATGTAAAATCAGCCTGGTCCAGAGCCTGCATGCTGTCAGTGTAAATTCTTGTAATGACTAGTTGGTGAGAAAAAGCTAAGTCAGTGCAAATGATAGGCACAGAGGTCCCAGAAGCTTGCGGACCAATCTAACATACGTGGGGGCTAACAACAGAGACCCTGTCTCAAACAGGGTAAGACCGATACCCAAGGCTGTCTTATGACTCCACACATGTGCCATTGTACACACCCATGTATACTCATACACATGCATACACACCTATAATACACACATATTACCATCATACACACACACACACACAGTTACTCCTCTTGCAGTCTGTGGGGTGTGTGACAAGAGTCTCAGGCCACCAATGGCACAGGACTCACTTAGTAAAGCGAGTAAAGTAGGTTCTAGGTCCCCAGATCCCTCGGTGAGTTGGGACACAGATACGCACAGCTGCCTGTAGATGGAACTGCTGCCTTCCCTTCTCTGCTCAGAGCCTACAGTGAACACACGTGCTCTCTGGCTGACCGTGACCACAGGCAGTTTTCCACCCTGTCAGCATTCAAAGGTTCAGCCATGACCAGGTGTGGCAACTCATGCCTCCAGCATTTGCGAGGCACAAGTGTGAATTTGAAGCCTGCCTGAGTTTGAAAGTAAAGCTCTGTCCAAAAAGACAGCCCAGTTGTTTTAAATTTCTTTTACTGGTTTATTTCAATATTAAAGCCCTGCTTGTCCATGGCAGTTAGACAGAAATCCAGCACGTGTAGGATGCCCTGAGCTGCTCCAGGTTGACAGTCAATTACCACACCTGGCCAAAGTAATCCAAGGGGCTGCTGTTGTGGCCGGCATAGAGGAAGGATGTCTATTTTTGTAGAAAGTTCTGTCAGATAGTGCTGGTCTGAACACTTTACTCACAGGCTTCTTTTGTCTTTTAGGCCAAGATATCAAGTCCGATGGCTTCAGCATCGAGACCTGTAAAATCATGGTGGACATGCTAGATGTATCCTTTAATGAGCTCAGAACGGTGACTAACCTAGTGTGTCCTCAGATAGAGGAAGTGAGCCCACTCCACACCTGCCTTCACAGGTTTGGAATGCAGACAGATAGCCTGTCAGGTCCAGGGCTAGAAACCCTGGCCATATACCCACCATCTCTGCCCAGAGCAGCCTAGGTCTTGAATGACAGAGCTTCCCTAAGCCATAGAGTGCTTGATATGACTGTGTCTGTGGCAGGATTCCCTTCTAAAACCACGTGTGGCAGTTCACTTCTGTTCATTCCACTTGGTGGGACTGAGACAGAAGGATTTCCAGTTTGAGGCCACCTGGGCTACATAGCAAGACTGTCTCAAAAAAAAAAGTTCTCTAGACCCGAGGCTGAGGGCCTACATTGTCATTCTTTCTCTTCGGCCTAGCTCCCCCCGGGCCTGTCCCTGAAGCAGACTAAGATTTTCTGATGCTCAGTAATAGGACAGTGCAAATCTCTGTGACACTATCTACTGGCCACATGGCATGTACATATGACACAGCAGCTCCCTTCACAAGATTCCTAGAAATACCCAAGTTAGAGTTGGAGAGATGGCTCAGTGGCTAAGAACACTAGTTGCTCTTCCAGAGGTCCTGAGTTCAATTCCCAGCAACCACATGATGGTTCACAACTATCTGTAATGAGATCTTGTACCCTCTTTTGGCCTGCAGGGATACATGGAGACAGAACACTGTATACATAATAATTTTTTTAAAAAAATTTAAAAAAAGATTAGTGAGTAGTGACTCAGTTTTAAAAAAAAAAAAGCCCTATTTAAAAAAAATACCCAAATAATTCTCAGGGTCCCATTCTGCCATCTCATAACAAACTGTTAGAACGATCTAGGGTCCCCACAGCACCCCAGTCAGCAGATGGCAGGGCTCCATCACTCAATTCCTGTTGCCCTTTTGAGGAAGTTTGGGAGTAGGAAAAACAGAAGGCAGAGCCTTCTACAAACCTTCCTGTGCATGTGTTGGAAAAACTGGGAGAGGCAGCTTCAGCCCAAGCAGATGCCACTGTACCCAGTGACTGAATACTCTAGGTGCTTTCCTTGACTGAGGGCAGGAAGATGGGAGTGGCAAGCTGGGGCTGAAGGAGTTCTACATCCTCTGGACGAAGATTCAGAAATACCAAGTAGGGTCCTGGGGACCCTGGGGTGGCTACATCAGTGTTGGGGGATATTCTAGACATGTCCTTTAAAATGTAACTCCTCTGGAGGGTGGGGAAACATTTCCAAGGGAACTGAACTTTATCCATAGTGCAACTCAGAAGGAGTAAAGACTCAGCTACGCCACACACACACACACACACACACACACACACACACACACACACACACACACACAACAAGGACTTTGCTGGTAAAGCAGTCTTAGCCTTTCCTTTGCCTGACTAGTGACCAGGAATAAGGCCATTGTCAAGAGTTTCCTGAAAAGGCTGCCTGGCCTCTTGTAGTTGGGATTTGTGTCAGTTCATATGTAAAATGTGCCACAGGCTGGGTGATTGGGTGGGCACTCTGAGAAGTGAGCACATAGAAAAGGCAAGAGAGCCAGCACCACAGCTCTCAACCTGTGGGTCGCCGCCCCTTTGGGGTTTGATTGACCCTTCACAGGGGTCAATATCAGATATTTACAGTTATAGAGTAGCAATGACAATAATTTTACATGAGGAACTGTGTTACAGAGTCACAGCATTAGGAAGGTTGAGAACCACCGCATCACTATTGAAAGTGAGAGCGGTTCTGGTGAAACCAGACTAGAGACGCGGAGATGGAAGCATTCACACGCACTCACACACACCTTACAGGCACCTCAACTCCTGCTTTGCTTTAGTCATGTTTCTAATAAGTATTTTGCCTGTTCCAGAAAATTTACCGGGAAATCGACGTTGACAGGTCTGGAAACATGAACTCCTATGAGATGAGGAAAGCCCTGGAAGAAGCAGGTACCACTTCACACCCACGTCACACCCACACCTCCTCTGCCCTTAGGGTCCTCCTGAATGAGTTTTATCTGAAACAGCCTGGCAGAGCAAGAAGGCAAAGCCAGCTCTGAGAGAGAGAGAGAGAGAGAGAGAGAGAGAGAGAGAGAGAGAGAGAGAGAGAGAGGTGTGGTGTGTGGTGTATGTAGTATAGAGGGTATAGTGTATGTATGTATGGGGTTATTGGTGTGTGTGTGGGGGGGGTTATTGGTGTGTATGGTGTGTGTATGTGTGTGTGTGTGTGTGTGTGTGTGTCCTCCCCCATACCCCTCACACACTCCCCTGCAGAACTGGCAGTAGACTCTGACTATCTCAGGGCAGCTTTCAGGAAAGCCCCAGCAGAACAGACATCAGTAACTAGGGTGTAGCAAAAACCAACAGTGAGGAGATCTGGGACAACAGGTCATCACCATCACATGCTGCCAGCAGATCCGCACACAAAGGGCTCCTCGCTTTTGAAGGTGCACCCATGACTTCTGCTCACACACACTATTAGCCAAAACTTACTCACAAGATCTACAACTGCAAGAAAAGCTAGGAAGTGCAGTCAACATGCCCAGACAGCGACGGGCCTGTTAAAGTTCCTTTTCTGTTCACAAGAAAGAATTAATATTAACTATTTTGCCACAGAGTTCAACAAACCATACCGCCCATGGAAAAAAGCAATCATGGGTTACTTTAAAGTGTCACACAGTTCAGGGGAGCTGGAGAGATGACTCAGTGGTTGACAGTATTTGCTGCTCTCACAGAGGACTGACCTTGGTGCCCAACATCCACATTGAGCAGCCCACAACCACCTGTAACTCAAGTTCTAGGGGATCCAACACCATCTTCTGGGCTCTGCAGACACTGCTTACAGGCAGTGCATATATAGGAAAGCAGGTACATACACATAAAACAAACATATATAAAAATAATGGGGAGAAAGAGTATCACATCGTCTCACAGCCTGTGAGCAGAGGTAGCTAGTTGGTGTGGCACTCAGCAGAGCTAAGCACTGGGGTCTGGTATTCAGCCAATAGCTCTTTGTTCACTCACCTCCAGGTTTCAAGCTGCCCTGTCAACTCCACCAAGTCATCGTTGCCCGGTTTTCAGATGACGAACTCATCATCGATTTTAACAACTTTGTTCGCTGTTTGGTTCGGCTGGAACTGCTATTCAGTATGTGGCTCTCTCTGCTCCGTTAACTCAGAGTTAAGGCCTAGCTTGTCTTTCAAGGGGGTGCAGTCACTGGATGTGTCTGTCTATGAGCTAGGAATGGCCTTCCCTTTTGTTAAACTGGGGAAGGAGGAAGGAGTAATAGATTGTGTCATCCAACAAAAATCAACTGCCAAATTGGACAAGGCTGCAATCTGCATTTTTTTCATTGTTCACACCCCCTGTCCTCCCCCCACAGAGATATTCAAGCAGCTGGACCCCGAGAACACTGGAACGATACAACTCAACCTTCTTTCTGTAAGTCAGCCACTCACACAAATCCTGGCTCCTGGGAAAGCTGGTGGAAGATGTGTCACACAGGCTGTTCCTAGGGTGACCTGAACAGGCTGTTCCTAGGGTGACATTCTTTTGGAAATTTTGTTTCTGAGTTTTTTCTGGTCTAGTGGGGATAAGGCTGTAAATGGTTGTAAAGTCCCATGATGCACTTTGATTTTCTATTTCTTAACTATTTGCTGAGTCCCCTGCCTAGGAAAACACACCTGGCTCTCTGGCCCCATGAGCTTTGACTGGAGCATAAGCACCAGGTTAAACTAAGATGACTGGGTATACAAGATGGCTGAGGAAAGAAGTGATCAGCATTTGAGAGTATGTGCTTGTAGAATGAAACCCTTTGGGTGGAATTCAGGTTGGGTATCTGGGAAAACCTGCAATTTTAGAAATACCTACTCAAAGTATTTTTTTATACAAATACTTATTTCTATTATCTCTCCTCTTTAACATGAAACTAACAATACATACATTTATCATATGCCATAATAGGCTTATATGTCTAGAACACATCAATACACATCTCTGAGATCAATATAAGCCTGAAGTTCTCAACCTGTGGATCACAACCCCTTTGGGAATCAAATGACCCTTTCACAGGGGTCACTGAAAACCATCAGAAAACACACATATTTCCATTATGATTCATTCATAACAGTAGCAAGCAAATAATTTTATGGTTGGGGGTCACCATATGAAGGACTGTATTAAAGGGTCACAGCATTAGGAAGGTTGAGAACCACTGATCTAAGTCAATGTGGCAGGCAACTTTACCAAAAACAAAGCATAGGACAGCCTCTTGTCATCCTGCTAACAGAAGGCTCACAGTCACAGAAGCAACTGGGTATTAGAGAGCTTACCTAGTGTTTGCAAGGCCCTGGGTTCAAATCCCAGCATGGCAGAAAAAAAAAAAAGCTACAGAGAATCTAGGACCACATGATTCCAAAAGGCCACAGAAGAATGCAGTACTGGCTGGGAAGTCATCAATGCTTCCCAATGTCACCAGAGGATCAGAATAGCAAGAAGACTTAGGGTCTAACAACTCTTTTTCTTTAATTTTGAACTCTGGTTTAAACCAACACTCAAACAGCTGTTCACTGCCCTGCAGTGCATTGTAAAGTACCCATATCCAAGTGGAAACCTTTTAGCTAGCTACAAATGACCAGTTGTTTAAAGCTATATAATGTTGTATCATCTAGGAAATAACCCTTAGCCTGAGCCTGCAATTAATTCAAAGGCCGGTCAATGCAACTGGAACATGAAGCATGCCATGCTAGGTTCTAGAGGCTAGCCTATTTCCCATTCCTGATGGATTGCCAATTCTGGCTCACCTAGCCCACTCCTTGCTCACACATATGGGCCTGTCTACTCTGACCAGTCCCTTCCTGTTTCCTAAGGAACACCTTTATCCACCTTCCACTCAGGTTACCTTCCACAGGTTCCTAAAGATCTCTTAGGAGGCATTTCCAAGGATTAGCCATGTCTACAAAGTCTCCCCTTAATTATGCTGTGATTTTCATGGGTTTTCAATCTCAGTTGTGGGTTATATCAGTCTGGAGGGCTGTGACAAAGTCCTGATGACTTGGTGTATTTCACACTGATTTGGGAGTCTGAGAGTTCCTGTCACACCAATACAGAACCAAGGCTGAAGCTGGCATTTTCTGAATATCCACATCTCAAAACTTTTATTATTTATTTATTTATTTATTTTGAGACTGGATCTCAAAAAATTCCTGGCTGGCCTGAAATTCTCTATGTAGACCATGCTAGCCTCAAATTCACAGCAATATGCCTACCTCTGTCTCCCTAGTAGTAGAACTCAAGGTATACACCACCCATACCAGCCCCGTAACAAACCTCCGATGTGATGTGTTGAGGCAAAGGTATGAAAATGATGGTTTGTACGTTATTTGAACGTCACCTTTCATGTATTCAGTACTACTGAATTACTGGTTGTAACCACCAGTTTAAACCACACAAACCATGGAACTGCTGCTAATCTAGAAGTTAGGTAGAATGGACTGCTAGGGCACTGATGTCCTAGTCCTTCATAAGCTTTCAGGTTCAACTTCTTCCAACATAACCCAAAGCCATTTATAAAGTCCTTCATTTTAATGATGATTCCTGAATAACTGGTTCTCTTCTTCACACAGTGGCTGAGTTTTACAGTACTCTGATGTTACATGCCTGAAGATGTCTAAAAGAAGAAAACAGCCAATGCCTAAACTTCCAAACACTTTGTATTTGGATCTTGAACTTATGGGAACATTTACTTAAATGGATGATTATACCTGAAGAATATAACCGTCTAAGATAGATGAATTTTCACATATCAGAATAAAACCAAATGCAAATGAAATGCATTAACCCTTGATAAGCTTGAAGAAAGCTATGTCTGTAAATAGTATATAATTTTTACTTCTACATACTTTCCTGTTCTTAGCAATATTAAATCAGAAAGGAATGCAAAGAGGCATTAAACAACTGGGCAAATAGTAAGTCAATCTCAGAGGCCACAAGGAATTAGTGGGAATATTTTTTAAAAAATTTAAATTTTAAAACACATCAGTGGCGCTGGGTGGGCGTTGGTGGTACAAGCCTTTAGTTCCAGCACTCAGGAGGCAGAAGCAGGCAGATCTCTGTGAGTTTGAGGCTAGCCTGATCTACAGAGCTAGTTCCAGTGACACATCCTGAAGTAATTTGATGGAGACATCTAATGAATCCAGGAGCCAGGAGTGGTGGCACACCCCTGCAAACAAGACTCTGAGACAGAGCCCAGCCTGGGGTATTTAGCAAGACACTATCAAAAACAAAATCAGAAAGGAAGGAAGGAAGGAAAGAAGGAAGGAAGGAAGGAAGATAAAGCATGCCTCCATTATTTGGTTCTAACAAAAGATGGTTTTTATATAGTCATGAACAGCAAGTTTTCCCTAAACTTAAACCCTCAACCATATTTGGCCTTACACATTTAAGTCATACAAATGGTGAGTGGTGACAGCATTATACCGTGAGCAACTGTAGCCTTGCATCAGGGCCAGGTGTCCAGGTTGCAAGAAGATCATGATAAAAGACAAACAAGCTGTCAGCTGCCTCAAAATTTTATGTTCTTCGCTAACCCCAGGGATTGTGCCTAAGTTCTGAGGACAGAACTTAAGACAGTCTTCTTAAACAAGCTGGCTTCTTGATCTTGGGAAAATGCTAGCAACATTTTAAGCATATTGCCTTACCTCCTGCCAAATGTACTGTTAATAAAGAGTTGCCAATGCAGTCACAACATATCTTGTTTTTATTCCTTGAGTGTGGCCCCTGTGGGAGGGTTTATGAGCACACAGGGCTACAGCTTGGCTCTATTTAAACAGGTCTGCAGCCCTGAAAATTCACACACTGAGAAGACATCTTACTTATAATTAAACTATGGGACTACACAATGTTTCAAAGCTCTAGTTCAGAAGTTCTGGTCACGCAACTAGAAAGGGCAGCCCTAATTTGATCTGCAAAGGGCAGCCCTAATTTGATCTGCTTGTTAGTCTCTATCATTGCTGGCTCCATCACTTAGGGCAGGTCCCAAGACAGCTCTCAGCAAGGAGCTGAGAAAACCCAAATATTAAATCACAAATCTATACCAGGTGGTGAGCGGTGGTGGCTCTCGCCTTTAATCCCAGCACTCAGGAGGCAGAGGCAGGAGAATTTCTGTGAGTTCGAGGCCAGCCCGGTCTACAAAGCTACACACAGAAACCCTATTTCGGAAAAAGAAAAAAAAAATCACAAATCTAGGGTTATGGCTGTCGCTAGTGATCCTTGAAGAACAATTAAATGAGAAAGAAAGATGACTTGATGGGAAAATGCTACCCACTCTTTCATGGAAAGCCTAGGAGATAGTTGTTTTTTTTTTTTGTTTGTTTGTTTGTTTGTTTTGTTTTGCTTTTTTCAGGGCCAGAGGATATATAACAGAGCTTCATATAGTTTAGACAGATCTGGAACTATGTAGCCAATACTGGCCTTGAACTCTTGATCCTCCTGCCTCCACATCCACAGTAGGAATTCCAGCCCCATGTCTAATAGTAGAAGGATTTCTCAAATGCAGCTAGAGGGGGCCAGGAAGGCTAAGAGGTTGGAGAGCATGAACATGGAGCAAACTCGGGTCACTGGTATGAGCTTCTTCTGTTCAGGACCGGGGCTTTCGAGATAGAGAGGAGTGGGTTGTCTCTGGACCACAGGTGATAAGGGTAGTGTAGGTGAGGGACTGAAGATGGGGTAGGATTGAGGAAGGAGATAAGAGCTGGGAAGGGGTGAGGGTGAAGGCCGGGAAGCTGAGAGGAGTCTCAGGTTAGGTGCTGAACTGAGGAGAGACTGCCACTCCCAAATGGTGGAGGCTATTCTAGACATCACTGGCCGACACCATGCAGCCAGGCCCTCCTGCTGCATTTTTATCTCAAGGGCTGACCTTGTTGTCAAGGTGCTCTTTGTTTCAGTGAGTGGGGCAAGGAAAGACCAGGTCCAGTTCCCAGAACCCATTGCAGCCTGACATGTAACCCCATTATAACTCTTCTGTTAACTCCAGTTCCAGGGGATCCGGTAGCCTCTTCTGAATGCCACAGGTATTGCATGCATGTAGAGCATAGCATATAAGCAGGCAAAACAACCATACACATAAAATAAAGCCTAAAAGCAAAAACTGGGCAGTGCTCATTTTACAGGGTGAGGAGGCAAAAACAACCATGCACATAAGATAAAGTCTAAATAAAAGACCTGAGCAATGTCCATTTTACAGGGAGCAAATAAACTCGCAAGCTTTTTGATCCTGTAAGAACTGCCCTAACCTACACCTCACCACCACGCCCCTAAACCTCCGCCCTGATTTGCAAACCCCAACCTATCTTGGCCCTTCGGTGGACTGGGCGGGCACTCATCTCTTCAGTTGTTCCTCTCACAGCTCCTCTGTCACCCATCCTAATCATACACCTGCCGTACCCTGCCCTGTCCTTCCCCCAGGGCCAGCTTTCTAAGCTGTCCCTCCTACATCTCCAAATTACATCTCTACCTAGTACCATCCAGTTAATTTGACAGCCCATCGCTCTTCTAACGTAAGGACCCTCATGCCAACTCCTAAGAACACCCTCCAGCCCTCCAGCCCACTGCCTTTAATTCCATTTACTACTCTCTGCCCGAACTCCACATTTCCCCTAGTTTCCTTCTGTTTGTTGCTTTTGTCAACTGAAAGTCAAGTCACATGACACCACCTCCAGCCAAGGCTTGGCTGCCCTTTGTATCAGTCTATGCTCTCCTCTTCAGCATGGCCCACTGCCTGGTGCTTCCTTCTCCCCTATTTCACACAAACCAACACATTCTGCTTTTAATATGACTTCAGCAGCAACACCGAGAACGGGGAAAAAGCCCATGTTAAATATTAAATCATTTGATAAGTTACGAGTTTTATATAGCCACTGAATCTTAACACACAAGACCAAGCAAGCAGCAGAATGCAGAATGGCTTACAGCATGCTCCCAATTATGTCATAAAAATTCAAAGACAAAACTTCAAAACAATATGCCTTATGGTGTCTCCAGAATGTCCACTGCCTGACTCTAAACAAGGATTCCTAGGAAGAAGTTATCTTCAGAGACTGATTAGAAGAGCAGTGATGTGCAAAGTCTGGAATGCTGCAGGTCCAGGGCTTAATCCCCCTATCTTGGGCTAAATTCAGCCCTGAATAAGCAAGCCATTCCTTGCCCACCTCTATGTCTGACTAACATCTGATGACTGACTGATAAAAACTAGAGCCTATGAAACTAACATCTAAGAATGTTGTCATACACCTGAGACCTACATGAGAGAGTCCCATCTTGCTGTAACTGCCTCTCTGATGTACCTACTGATTTCTTTTTAAATTGCCTTGATTTATGGCTTTCTTCCCTCTATAAAGCTTTATGAAACTGCTTCTATGTGGAAACGTAGATCCTCAAGTAACCTGCCTCCACATTTCCCGGGCCTTGGTCATTAAAACTGGCTCCATAATAAACTATCTCTGATTCCCTTGAAAGCTGTGTTTTTTGAGTCAATAACCTTTTTCTATACTTGCAAGCATTACCCCCAGGAAGCTTTGATACTTTAATAATAAAACAGGTAAAACAAACAAACAAAATTACAAAGAGAATTCTTAGGATAAAGCAGCAGAAAGATACCTTTGGCGGGCCCAAGCAAGGTCCGCTGCTAAAGGATCATCCCATGATACAGATCTAATGCAAGAGGTTTACTGGGGGGGAAGGGGGACAGTCTGGAAGTGGGGACATGACAGATAGAGACTGAGAGACAGAGGGAAGGAACAAGGCAGAGAGAATGATCTGGGGTGCCCAGGGCCTTTAAGGAGGCATGTGTCGCTAGGCAACTCTATGCAACTCTTAGGGGATATGGAAAATGTGTTGCACCTTCGGTGATGCCAAATTTAAAAGAAAAAAAAATGGTAAGATTAAGGAATATGCAAGACCTTCTTGGCTCCCTCTACTAATCTCCACATCTTCTGTTTTTGTAGACTCACATAATCCCTTAGCTTATTCTATAGCACTTTACATGCTTTCTCTCAACAACTCCTTAGGTTCACTACATGTATTAACAGAACAAGACTCATGGAGGTCACCTGCCTTGGCAAGGTCATACAATTAATTATTGCAGTGGAAGTCTAGTTCTAGAATCCATGTTGTATTTGTTTTCCACTGTAACATCTCATACAATTCAGTGTTTTAACACAAATACTCATTATCCCACACTTGTACAGATGGGGGGTCCAGCAGGTTCCCTTACTGCAGCCCACCCCCAGCTGTGGATTCATCTCTAACAGATCAACTTGCCTAGCAGGGTGCTCTGAGGTCGACATGGCTGCAAGCCTGAGGCCTTGTCTGCTTGCAGGTTTCCAATCCAGAGTTTTTCTTACTTTCCACACTTCCTGTTTCATGACACTTCATCTTCAAAATTAGCCCAAATCTGGCTGACCACCCCTTCTGTCTCAGGAGCCTGCCTCCCCTTTTGCTTTTCAAGGGTTTATGAGATTACACTGGGCCCACCTGGATAATCCAAGCTGATCTCCCTATTGTGTTAGCTGATTAAAGAATTGAGTCTGAAAAAACCTGAGATCTATGCCCGACTAATTGGTGAAGGGAGGCCCACTGGGTTTAGAATTTTGCCTGCTATGCATAATCTCTGCATTTAATTCATGTTGTCATTCTTTCTCCATTATCTGAAAGGTTTTTCATCTACTTTCCTCGTTAAAATTCAGCTTTAAAAATATCTAGAGAAAGTAACCACTGGTTTTGTATATATATCTTGTTACATTACAGTTCCACTAAAACAACTTATTAACTTGTTTGGCAGTAAAATAATTGAAAAAAAAATCAAGGCATATAACTTTATGAAGAATGGGAAAAAGAGATGAGAGCATTAAAACAGCCCAGCAGAGGTTGCAAGTCTGTTACTATGATGTCCAACCTCCACGGATGAAACAAACAAACACACACACACACACACACAAAATCAATCTCTCTCTCTCTCTCTCTCTCTCTCTCAAAAAGTAAGATATTCTAGCCATCCAGACTCATGAACTGCAAAGCTGAGTTTTTGTAATTAAGAACTGCATCTAAATCACACGACTGTGAGGAAATCTTACCACAGATCAAGCAGTTGATTATTTCTCAGTTGTGCAGGAGACAGCCCACTGGCTTATGACTTTAAACCAAAGATATTTATGACATTAAAAGGAAAACTGCTAAGTGGCTTAGAGACAAAGTTTAATTTTATTACAATCATTTTTAAAATCACCTATGATCTTAACAAATACAGGTAAATCTATAACAAATCTCTAATTTCCAAGATATAAAAAGACAATAAATATAGATTCAAATTCAACCTAAAAAACAAGATTCTAGATCTAATTTAGATTAGGTAGTGTAGTTTAGTTTAAGTATTTCAAATATATGCATAATTCTTTAAACGCTATAGGAACTCAACAGTTAATGCTGACAAGCAGCTAACAGCTCTTCACTGACAATACACAAGTGTGCAGCACTGGGGACTCCCAAAGCCTGCTGGTACTGGGGGCAGTTGGAGATGGTGCCAGATGGCACTGGTCCTCTCTGGCAGGACACTGGTATGGGAACAGTGCCAAAAAACACCCTAAGCAGGACAAGAAGCTGATTTCCCACAGTCCACTAAATGGTCCCATTTCTTGGCAAAAACCAGGCTCACTGCTGCCTGGCTATGTGCTGCAATGAGCACTTTGCCTA